ATACAGAATATGTTTGGTGTTAAATGAAACCATAATGCATGAAAGTTATCAGGAAAAATTCCCAAATACTTTAAAATTAAACATCACACTTCTAAATTCTAAACCTAAATTCTATAGGTTACAACATTACCAAGGACATTATTTTAGGCTGAATTAAAATTAAATATATAAAATGTACGCAGCAAAACTGCTCAGAGAGAAATTTATAATTTTGAATTCTTGCATCATAAAGTTCTAAAAATAATTATCTGTTTCCATATTAATAATCTGGGAAATGAAAAGTAAATTTAAAAAGTAGAAGGAAGGAAAGCATTGAAATAAAATAAAATAGAAACATTGGTGGCGGACTGGGGGGGATCAATGGAACCAAAAGGCATTTCTTCAAATAGGTGAATAAAATTGATCAACCTCAAGCTATACTGACCTAGATAAGAAGAGAAGATACAATTGCCAGCACCAGTATAAGACAGAACATCTGCAGTAATCTACATACACTAAAGACTGAAAGGAAATATTTTGAGCTGCTTTATGGGAAAAAAATTGAAAAATGAACAAACAAGATGTCTCTCAAATTGCTCGAGAGACATATAGTACCAAGAGGACTTTGAGGGAAATGGAAAATAGGATTAGCATTTTATATATTAATGGTCATAATCCTTGAGCACTTAAAAGAACGGAAGAAAGATCAGGCTTTCCTCCGTTGCATAGTCACTCTGAGTCAGACTAGACTTGGTGGCAGGGTGTTTACTTTGAGTAGCAAGAGAAGGCCAGTACAGTTATGAAAACACACTCAGCATCGTTAGTTATAAAGAACAAAAGCAACTCACTGCCACCCAGTCAATGCCAATGGATAGCGACCCTGAGACAAGACTGTAACTCTTGATGGGCGTAAAAGCCCAGTTTACCCTGGGAATACACACAAGATACTACTGTACACCGTTGATGGTTTCTTGTTGGTAGGCGTCTTCTCGTTGGATCTGACACAAAGCAAAATGGTATGCAGAACAGAACCTGCCGTCCTCCCCCTCGTTCCCGCATTTGAGCCCATTGCTGCAGCCTCTGTGTCAATACTTCTCGTCCAGGACCTTCGTCTTTTCCATGAGCCTCTACTTTACCCCACATGCTGCCTTTTCTAGGGCCGGGTCTCTCCTGATAATACGTCCACATTACATGGGGGAAATCTCACTCTCCTTGCCTTTAAGGAACATTCTGGTTACACTTCTTCCAAGAGAGATTTGCTGGTTCCCCTGGCAGACCATGAGACCATCAATATTCTTCAGCATCATCATAATTATCAGATATATCGATCCTCCTGCAGTGGTTTTTATTACTGTTCATAGTATGTGTTTTAGGTGATGGAAAATACCTTGCCCTGCTAGTGTGGCTGTGATTAAGATCATACCGATGTGGTTCCCTCCAAACTTGTTTCCCTTTCAAAATTCTGGATACTTCAGAAACCATTCTTATACATGTTTTCTGGGTTTTTGCTAATATGAATTAGTAATAACTGACGGTTTTCTTTTTTTGGGTAAGCCGTCTTTTTCGCAAGCCTTTTTTCCTTTAGTTTTTAAATTTTTACTTGCTTTTCTGGTGGTATCTTAAGGTAACCAACTGCATTAGTGACTAGAATGGAAATTGATATTCCTGAGCAAGGTAGGTCTTTCAGGGAGTGTTGTTGCTGACTTTCAACAAGATTTCATCAGATGTGACAGAAGGCACTGATTTTGCTAACAAGAAAGGTCATGACCTTTTGGGATTTGGGTCTATTGACTTACATGCATTATTTGGGTCTATTAACCCAAATAATGCTTTTAATTTAATTTAATTTAATTTAAAATAAGTATCCAATTTTAACCATTAGTTCATTGTTTTATGTTTTTAATATTTATTGAGTTTTATTTAAAGGAAATAACTTCAGCTCATCTCAGAAAAAAAAGGTACTTAATCTAGAAAATTCGATACCTATGAAATAAGTAGCATGGTTGGCTCTAGGCTGTGTGCCTTCAGAAATTACTCTTAGAATAACACTTCTTAACGACCTGCCACAAATCCTACACTTCTGCTTCTGTCAGAGAACTAGAGAATCAGCGACTTACCACTGCAGTGATCTTCAGGAACGCAACCCCTCAGCTGCCATCCATGGACAAGGAAGTTCTGCCAGAATTTTCCTAGAAAACACATCACCATGCCATCTCCCAGGAGCCTCACCATGCCTGTTGGATCTGCTAGCCTTTCAGTGCTTTCCCAGCCAATGGATGCAGTATGAGATGTTTGTTAATGTTGGCTGATAGACTTATAGGCACATGCAGCGGGAGGGCAGAATTTGCTAAGGCATCTGGGGTAGCCTGGGAACCCAGAGTGGGTGGGTGCCACAGAACACTGGGACACTAAGTCCTGGATCTTCAGGGTGCACTTTGTGCTCATGGGGCTGCATCAGTGAGACCCCCAAAAGGAACTCCACTTGGTGAACCGGACTCTACCCCAGACACACTTGTAACCTGAGGACTTAAGCCTGAAAACACACGGTGTCTGCAGTAGAAGAAGACAGCTGTCCCAAGAGCGGTGCCCTCTTGGTTGGTGAACAAACAAGGTGTTGGTACATTAGTGCCCTGTATGCTGTGTTAAGATTCATATTACCGAGGGAATCCTGTGACAGCCATTCTGTTACATTCTGCTTCTGCTCATTTGTACTAGGGCGTACCTCTGAGTGGGTTGCTATTGGGGCTCACCCTCTTTAAGCTGTGTTATTTATTTATTTATTTATT